GGAGGGTCAGTGCTGAGGGAGCGCCGCACTGTCGGAGGGTCAGTGCTGAGGGAGCGCCGCACTGTCGGAGGGTCAGTGCTGAGGGAGCGCCGCACTATCGGAGGGTCAGTGCTGAGGGAGCGCCGCACTGTCGGAGGGTCAGTGCTGAAGGAGCACTGCACTGTTGGAGGGTCAATATGGAGGGAACATACACACACACACACACACACACACCCCCCCCCTCCCCCCACAGAGGGGGACACAACTGTTTAAAACATTATTCGTGTGGTCTTGTCTATACACAGAGAAAGAAGTAGTGAGATATAACTCTTGGAGCTGAGGAGATGAAAGGGAATAGGGGAGAAAGTGGGAGCAGGAGACTGAGTTGGATGATCAGCCACAATCCCATTAAATGGTGGACCAGGCTTAAAGGGCTGAATGGTCTACTTCTGCTCCTATTCCCTACGTTTCTACTTCAGCAAAACCTTGTGAAGAGGGCCCACAGGAGCTGCCTTTCCAGCCTTTCAGCCCACCTGGTTGATTTTTTGTTTGTCTGTGAGTGTGTGTTTCTATGTGTGTACGTATGCATGTGTGTTTGTGTCTATATATGTGTGTTTGTGTCTATATATGTGTGTTTGTGTGAATGTGTTTGAGAGTGGTGTACTATTGTGTGAGTGAATGTATGTGTGTGTGAGTGTGTGTGTGAGTATGTGTGTGTATGTGAGTGTGTGTCTGTGTGTGTTAGACTGAGTGAGGGTGTGTGTATGTGTATATGTGCACGTGAGTGTGTGTGTCTCTGAGTGTGTGCCTGTGAATGTATATATGTGAGAGTGTGTGTGTGAGATCCTGTGTGTGTGTGTTTGTGTGAGTGAGTGAGTGTGTATGTGAATGTGTGTGTGTGTATATGTAAGCATATGTGTTTGTGTGTATGTGAGTGTGTGTGTGATACGTGTCTGTACATGTATACATGTATGTGTGTGTGTTTATGTAACTGTGTGATGTGAGTGTGTGTAAGATGTGTGTGTGTGTGTACGCGTGTGTGTGTGCGTGTGTGGTGTATGTGTGATGTGTGTGTGTATGAGTGTGTGTGTCTATGTGAGTGTGTGTGTGTGATGTGAGTGTGTGTGCACGTGAGCGTATGTGTGTGTGCACGCGTGTGTGTGATGTGAGTGTGTGTGTGTGTGCGCGTGTGTGTGTATGCGTGTGACTCTGTGTGTGTGTGTGTGTGTTTGTGTGTATGTATGTGTTTACGTGTTTGCGTTGTGAGTGTGTGTGTGTGTGTGTGCATGTGCAAGTGTTTGCGTGTGTGTATGCGTGTGAGAGTGTGTGTGTGAGTTTGTGTATATGTATGTGTTTATGTGTGTGTGAGTATGAGTGTGTGTGTGTGTGTGTGTGAGGGAGAGAGAGGGCGAAACAAATAGAGACCTGTCTAGGTTTACAGGCATTTCCAAAGGTCTGCCCTCTCACAGTTCTGTGTCAGACACCCATTTTAAAAATCTCAGCCAGTTGCAAAGAAGCTTTCACTTTCCAACCCCTGGATACCCGACGCAAGCTTGTGTCTGAGAAGCATCAAACTCACCTCCTCCAAAGGAACAAAAACAGAAATTGTTGGAAAAGCTCAGCAGGTCTGGCAGCACCTGTGAAGAGAAAACCAGAGTTTAACGTTTCGGGTCTGGTGACGCTTCCTCAGAAGTGTGCGTGTATGTCCTCTTCCTCCCAGACCTGCTGAGCTTTTCCAACGACTTCTGTTTTTGTTCCTGATTTAGAGCATCCACAGTTCTTTCGGTTTTCACCTTCTCCAAAGGCTGTATGGCTCATGGATGAAAAATACTCAGCCCCAGGTCAAACAGCGAAAACCGAGCCTAATGAATCTCAGCAATGAAGCCATGCGCAGGTTCGCACCTCTCAGTTTGCCTTTTGAAATATGCAGCTGTTTACAGGGTGAGCTGTCAGTTTCTGTGCTGTTTGTCTAGCGGGTGATATTGACTACTGTTCTATACTTTCAGCGGTGCCCGGAAATTTTTCCATGCCTTCTGTCCGAGCGGAGCTTGGAAACTCATTCCAATTGCAGTGCAGCGTCAGTTCTGGAGAGGATGTCACCTGGGAGATGAGGAACTACAACAGTTCAACCTGGGAAATCCTTGACTTCCAGAAACCCCTGTACCGTTGGGAGAAAGTGAATGAGAAGGACCTGGGCATTTACCGTTGCCAGAGCACGCTGACGAGACAAATATCTTGCAGCGTTGGACTCCGGCTTTACAGTGAGTGTCCCCATCCTTGAGGAGGCATTGGGTTGAGAGTTGAAGAGGTTGGGGGGTTGGGTATAAGGGGCACAGGGAAGTGGTCTGGGTGGGTGAGTGGGTCTAGACAAATCAACTCCACCCTTTCTGCCACTGTAGCCGGGGTAGGATGGAAGCTGGTTTTCCAGCACCAAGCTTGGGTTGCTGGAGACTACCCATTCGCCCCTCCTTCTGGGCTTGTCAAGTTATCGGAAATGACCAGCAAACCTCCCAAACTCATTTACGCACCCGTTGTCTCCCTCTGTAGTGGGTGGGGGGGGGGGGGGGGGGACTGGAGAGGAAGGTTGGGGCAGGAGCGAGGAACGTGTGGTGGCTTGGTGGGTGGGCAGTGAGTTTGCTCTGGGTCAGGTGTGGGCATGGGCAGGTGTTGGGAGTGGGTGCGTATTGCTGGGTGGGTACTGGATGGGAGAGTCAGTGGTTAAATAACTCCACAGGGGCTGCTATCCCATCATTAGGTCCCCCTTTATTTATACATGTTGAGTCCTTGACACTGACCCAGCTCCCTTAGAGCCAACTCTCAGAACCGCCAACATTCCTGTTTATATCTGTCAGCCAAGGATCCCTGATTGGACCAGGTTAACAGCCAGGGCTCCCTGATTGGGCCAGGTTAACAGCCAGGGCTCCCTGATTGGACCTAGGGTAACTGCCAGGGCACCCTGATTGGGCCAGATTAACATCCAGGGCTCCCTGATTGTGCCAAGGGTAACAGCCAGGGCTCCCTGATTGGACCAAGGGTAACAGCCAGGGCTCCCTGATTGGACCAAGGGTAACATCCAGAGCTCCTTGATTGGACCAGGGGTAACATCCAGGGCTCCCTGATTGGGCCAGGTTGACAGTCCCAATCAGGGAACTCATACTCGACGAGGTCCACCTGACTGACTTCAATACAATCACTACAGATGGGTGTTGGGTGTGTATTGGGTGAGGGTGTGGTGTGGGTATTGGAGAAAGATGTGGTGGGGCTGTGGAGTGTTGTTTGGGTGGGTATTTGGGTGACTAGAGTGGTTCAAATGGCAGTTCCCAATTGCCACTGAGGATGGGGACCAGTGCATCACATTTCACACACTCCTGTAGCTTCCCAATCTCTCTCCTATCCAGAATCACGCCACAAGTTCTTCAATATCAGGGAATCGCAGAAGAACGTCATCCTCATGGTGGAAGGCATACTCCTCCTCAGTCTGGTTGTCATCCCAGGGACAATTCTGCTTCGAGAGGTGAGACCATAAGATGTAGGAACAGAATTAGGCCATCTAGCCCATTAAGTCATTCAATCCTGGGTGATCTATTTCTTAACCCCCATTCTCCTGCTTTCTCCCTGTAACCCTTGATCCCTTTACTAATCAAGAACCTATTTATCTCTGTCTTAAAAACACTCAATGACTTGACCTCCATAGCCCTCTATGGCGATGAGTTCCACAGATTCACCCCCCTCTGAATGAAGAAATTCCTCCTCATCTCAGTTCTGAAGGGTCGTCCTTTCACTCTGAGACTGTGCCCTTTGGTCCTGGTTTCTCTTACTAGTGAAAACGTTTTCTCCACATTGGCTCTATCCAGGCCTGTCAGCATTCTGTAAGTTTCAATGAGATTCCCCCCTCATCCTTCTAAACTCCGAGTAGAGACCCAGAGTCCTCAAACGTTCCTCATATGACAAGCCCTTGACCCCGGGGTCATTCTCGTGAAGCTCCTCTGCACCCCTTCCAAGGCCAGAAAATCCTTCCTTAAAGATGGGGTCCACAACAGCTCACAATATTCCAAGTGCAGTCTGATCAGAGCCTTACATGGCCTCAGCAGTACATTTCTGCTGTTGTATTCTAATCCTCTCGAAATAAAAGCTAACATTGCACCGGCCTTCCTAACTGTCAACTGAACCTGCATGTTAATCCCAAGAGAATCTTGAATTCCCAAGTCCTTTTGTGTTTCAGATTTCCAAAGCCTTTCCCCATTTAGAAAATAGACTATGCCTGTATTCTTCATAGCAGAGTGCATAACCTCACAATTTTCCCACATCACATTCCATCTGCCACTTAGAACATAGAAAATAGAACAGTACAGCACAGTACAGGCCCTTCAGCCCACAATGTTGTTCTGAACTTTTACCCTAAACCTAAGGTCTATCTAACCTCCACCCCTACCTTATATTAGCATCCATATGCCTATCTAATAGCCGCTTAAATACCCCAAATGAAGCCAACTCCACTACCCTCTCCGGCAATGCATTCCATACCTCGACCACTCTCTGAGTAAAGAACGTACCTCTGACGTCTCCCCTATATCTACCTCCACTCACTTTAAAACTATGTCCCCTCATAATAGCTACCTCCACCCTAGGAAAGGGGTGCCTACTCTCCTAACCTGTTCAAGTCCTTCTACAGACTCCCCGCTTCCTTGACACTATCTGTCCCTCCACCTATCTTTCAGTCATCTGCAAATCCAGCAACAATGCCCTCATTTCCTTCATCTGGATCGTGAATGTGTAATGTGAATAGTTGTGATCCCAACACTGAGCTCTTTATTGATGTTTTTCATTTCAGTCGTCACTAGAGGGTGAGAAATGGTAGAGTATGGGGTGGTATGCTCCTCCTGTGAGACATGGGGAATCAGGGACTGTTCGAACATCCTTGCCAATTACATCTTGTTATGAAATAGATCGAACCCCCTCAAATATATCGAGGAGATAGCCTAGAACCTAGATTTCTTAAATTTTAATTTAAAGGTATGTGAAAGGTGCTGTGCTCCAGATACAATTCAATTGGGCCACTACCAGGCTTTAAGCAAAACACACTTTATTCTTACAGCACAGTTAAAATACAAACAAAAAAATGGCATAACTTTATCTCTATTTAATAAACTAATATATAATTTAACTACTAATCATCAACTGTTCCAATATAGCAGCATCTCATAAACACACCCCTTGGCAAAGATAAATTCAACAAAACAGATTTTCCTCACATGCTATCTCCTCTCCAGTCCAGGAGAAAGGAAAACTGAAAGAAACAATCTAGCAGCAGAGAGAGAGGACTCAATTTTTTTCTTTTTGCTGCAACAGAGAGAGAGCTGTATCTATCAGCTTCAACAACTAACTTCTAAACCCCAACTGAAAGCCAAACTGAAACCCTGGGCCTGTGTGAGCACTCACTCATGCTTCTTTTGTCTCATTTTAAAAAAAAACTGCTCAGGGAGCTCAAAGTTGTTTACCCACTGCTTCTGAAGCAGACATTCTCGCGCCACTTTGGCAACACCGCTCTACAAGAGAAACGGCACAGAACAACTCTCTCTTAAAGGCACAGAGACATCACAACCTGCTGGTAGGATGTCCACACTGCAGCCCCTGTCAGACCACATGAATTGTTTATAGCAGCAGCTGGACACATTCAGGAACATGCAGGAAGCAGAAGGCATCACAGTTATATATATCGAGATTGATGTGAAAAAGGATCTCCGGGAGGTGAAGAGCCAACAAGCCTTGCTCTTTGCCTCAGAGACCTCCAAGATAATATTCCGTTCCAGTTTCCGCACTGTGGAGCAGGATGAGATGTGCTCGTGTTTCTTCTTCCTGAAGGTACACAAGGAGAGCTCCGTACTCAGCAGCCTGAAGGAAGAAGATGGCTCGGTAACGTCATCTCAGTCTGACATCCTGAGGATCGGCAAATGCTTTTATACCAGATTGTACGACACAAAGCCCACACCCAGAGCGGCCTGTCAGTTGTTCCTGTCCTCTATCACTGAGGTCTGAGATGACAGCGTGCGGGAGAGGCTGGGCCAACTGTTATCTCTGGATGAGCTGACCAAGGCCCTTGAGTCCTTAGAAAAGAATAAAACTCCCGGAAGCGACGGCTTACCGGCCAAATTGTATTCAACTCTGTGGGACCTGATTGGCCAGGACCTGCTGGAGGTGTGTGACAATATGCCTCTGGTAGAGACCATGAGTGAATCCATGAGGAATCATCATCCTCATCTACAAGCGGAAGGGAGAAAGGGAGGAAATCAGAAATTGGTGATCAATTTCACTACTGAATGCGGACTGCAAAATCCTATCTAAGGTCATTGCCCACTGGATCAGGTCTGCTGTGGGATCAATGATTTACCTCAACCACACATGTGCTGTACTGGGCAGGACAATCTCTGAGAACTTCACACTCCACAGGGATATGATCACCTTTATACAGGGCAGGGGGGTGGACACCTGCCTCATCAGTCTGGACCAGGAGAAGGCCTTTGGCAGGATATCGCAGACCTCCATGAAGTCTCAATCAACAGGTGGGAATCAGAAAGTTTCCCGATCAAATCCAGAGTCAGGCAGGGCTGCCCTCTCTCTCCTGCCTCATTTGTGTGTTGTGTGGAGCCCTTTGCTGAGTCCATCAGGAAGGATGTGAGCCTGAGAGGGTTCCAGGCAGCAGAGGCCTGCAGATCAAACCCTCCCTGTACATGGATGATGTCACCATTTTGTGCTCAGATCCGCTGTCAGCGCGCAGACTCATGAGAATCTGCGACCAGTTTGAACTGGCCTCGGGATCCAAGGTGAATTGAGGCAAGAGTGAGGCCGTTTCTTTGGGAACTGGACCGGCCAATCCTTCATCGCCTTCACCATCAGGACAGATTACCTGAGGATGCTGGGAATATGGTTTGGAGGGGCTGGGGCGTGCACAAAATCTTGGGAGGAGTGTATTACCACAGTGAGACAGAAACTGAGCTTTTGGGAGCAATGCTCCCTCTCCATTGTAGGCAAAAACCTGGTCATCAGGTGTGAGGTACTCTCTCCGTTATGGTACATGATGCAGTTCTGGCCCATTACCAGACCCTGTGCGATTGCAATTACCCAAGACATCTTCCCTGGACTAAGGTGGATTGCAGGGACTCCATGTACCAAACTCTGGATAAGGTGGGATGGATTAATGTACCCAACTCTGCCCTCGTCCTAATGACCACCTTTGTTTGTGGTTGCATCAAGCTGTGCATAGACCCTTGGCACGCAAACGCCAAGTGTTATTAACATATTGAGTTCTACCTATCCCCGGTGTTGCGAAGGATGGGACTCACCTCATTGCTGCAGGATGATCCTTTGCTGAGAAATTTGCAAAGAAAAACACCTTTGACCTCAAGGAAGTGGTCAGCATGCAGTATCCTTGAGACCCTGAGGGAAAAGGAGAGAGTGGATCCTGTTGTGTGTTACCCTGAGCAGACTGCTAAAGTCATTTGGCAGAATGCCTCATCACCAGAACTTTCCAACAAGCACCAAGGCATCGCTTGGCTGGTGGTGAGAAGGGCACTCCCTGTCAGATCCTTCGTGCATGCCCGGACTCTCTGCGCCACCGCAAGGTCCCCTCGGAGTGGCTGCGTTCGGGTTCAGTCTGTCAAAGGAAGCCTGGAGAAAGATGCAATGTTTGTACCGAGCAGGTCCGAGAGCCGGGACTCTGCGCTCTGTTGCCTGTTTCCCGGGACGCTCACTGAGACAAAACATCGACTGCGCCCGGAGGGCCATCAACTCGGTGAAAGGGGCTCTCTGGGTCTGCCCGAAACGTGTTGGCCTTCCATAACGAGGAAGTGACCCCGGCTGAGTGTTGCAGACTGGCACATTCCAAGGTCTGGGCCTACATGCTGAGGGACCCACTAAAGCCTGGGCATAGCTGCCCGCCAAGGTGCAGTGGGGGAAGACCACCATCTGAGGTCTTTCTGCCAGAATACAATGAGGGTCCGGAGTCCTGATGAACACAAAACATCAACTTTCCTGCCCCTCTGATGCTGCCTGACCTGCTGTGTTCCTCCAGCTCCACGCTGTACTTACAATGGGGGTCCGTTCACTTATCGGACTCTCCCGGTGCTTCAAATATATGTAAATATAGTCTTGCATGAGTAAAAAGTGCCTCAAGTTTGTTTGCTCTCCATATGTAAAGACGGTGTACAGAATCAAGCTGCTTTGTTTTTTCCCCTGGAGCATAGGAGACAGATGGGTGACCTTATAGAGGTCTATAAAATCATAAGGGGTAGAGATATGGTAGATAGCCGACAGCTTGGTAGGGGAGTCTAAAACTAAATGACATAGGTTTAAGGTGAGAAGGAAAGAGGTACAAAAGTGTCCAGAGGGGCAATTCTTTCACACAGAGGGCGGTAAATGTCTGGAATGGGCTGCCAGAGGAAGTGGTGGAAGCAAGTACAATTTTGTCATTTTAAGAAACATTTGGACTGGGGCATGGATGGGATAGGTAGGGAGGTATATGGACCAAATGCGGGCAAATGGCACTAGATTAATTGTGAAAACTGGGTGGCATGGACAAGTTGGGCCGAAGGGCCTGTTTCCATGCTGTAAGCCTCTATGACTATGTTTATATATAAAGATTTTTATGGATAAAGTATATTTTTGAAGTCAAATAAAAAAGGGAAGCTTCAAAGACAGGAGTTTCAGAGACAGAATCATAGATTCCTATAGTGTTGAAACAGACCATTCGGCCCAACATCCCTCCAAAGAGCATACCACCCAGGCCCACTCCCCTAATTTCCCATGTCTAACCCAAACATCCCTGGGCACTACAGGCAATTTAGCATGGCCAATCCACCTACTCTGTGCATCTTTGGGCTGCGGGAGGAAACCCACACAGACACGGGGAGAATGTGCAAACTCCACACAGACAGTCACCCAAGGGTGGGATCGAACCCAGGTCCCTGGCACCGTGAGGCAACAGTGCTAACCACTGAGCCACCATGCCACCCAATTTGTGGCCATACCCTAAGTTGAGGCAGATAGATCGGTTACACCAGGATCATCAGGCAGTCAGTGCAGAGGACCCCAGTGGCTATCTCCCTCTCAAACAAGTATACTATTTTGGAATTTCTTTTAAATTCATTCAGGGGATGAGGGTGCTGGCTAGGCCAGCGTTTATCGCTTAGAGTTTTTTGTACCAGTGCAACAGAGTGTAAGGAACAAATAAAACGAGCTGCTGGCACAAATTCAAATCAGAAACTGTGATTGATCAGATGGGCCGCTGAGCCAAGGGGTGGCGGATGGAGTTTAATTTAGACAAGTGTGAGGTGCCGCATTTTGGAAAGGCACATCAGGGCCAGACTTATATACTTAATGATAATGTCCTGGGGAGTGTTGCTGAACAAAGAGACCTTGGAGTGCAGGTTCGTAGTTCCTTGAAAGTGGAGTCGCAGGATGATAGGATAATGAAGAAGGTGTTTGCTATACTTGCCTTTATTGGTCAGTGCATTGAGTATAGGAGTTGGGAGGGTCATGTTGCGGCTGTACAGGACATTGATAAGGCCACTACTGGAGTACTACGTGCAATTCAGGCCTCCCTGGTTTAGGAAGGGTTTTGTGAAACTTGAAAGGGTTCAGAAAAGATTTACAAGGATGTTGCCAGGGTTGGAGGGTTTGAGCTACAGGGAGAAGCTGAATAGGCTGGGGCTATTTTCCCTGGAGTGTCGGAGGCTGAGGGGTGACCTGATAGAGGTTTATAAAATTATGAGAGGCATTGATAGGGTAAATGGCCAAGGTAAAAATTGAAAGAACTGCGGGTGCTGTAAACCAGAAATTGCTGGAAAAGCTCAGCAGGTCTGGCAGCATCTGTGGAGAGAAATCAGAGTTAACATTTCAGGTTGAGTGACACTTCCTCAGATGCTGCCAGACCTGCTGAGCTTTTCCAGCAATTTGTGTTTTTGTTTATAAATACCCAAGGTCTTTTCCCTGGGTAGGGGAATCCAAAAAAACTCTGTGTGTATGGAATGAGCTGCTAGAGGAAGTGGTAGAGGTCGGTCCAATTACAACATTTAAAAGGCATCTGGATGGGTATATGAATAGGAAGGGTTTAGAGGGATATGGGCCAAATGCTGGCAAATGGGACTAGATTAATTTAGGATATGGACGAGTTGGACTGAAAAGTTTGTTTCCATGTGTACATCTCTATGACTCCATATAGGAGAGACATGGCTGCAGAATGTTCGGGATTGGGAAGGAAACATACCAGGATATAAGGTTTAAGGGGGGATAGAAAAACAAAATGGCAGAGGGAGGGTGGAGTAGCATTATTGGTTAGAAACAGAATCACATCTATGGTGAGGGAGGATGATAATGAGGGGAAAGCACCTTGTGGAGATTTTATGGAAGGAACTGAGGAACCATAAAAGAATGAAAATCACAATGGGTGTCATACATAGACCACCTGGTAGTAGCTCAGAAGTGTTGTTCAATTGATGAAATGAGGCAAATATTTAGCAAAGGCAGAATCGTATTAATGCGGGATTTTAATCTTTCTATAGTGTGTCCAGGATAGTTTCCTACAGCATATGTCTTGGATGTGACATGGGGACAAGCAATATTGGATCTAATGATGAGCAATGAACCTTATTTAATTAGTGACCGAGTTCATGAGCATTTGCCAAATAGTGATCATAACATAGTCTAGCTTCATGTCGGATTTGTAAGAGATAAGCAAGGATGGGGTAACTGATCACCTTGAGAAATTTAACTTAATCAGGGTGAGTCAGCATGGATTCATGAAGGGTAGGCAATGCCTGGCAAATCTCATTTTTGAAGAGGTGATAAAGATAATGGACAGAGGTAAG